TTTGTTTGGGGTCTTGCCTGTGGGAGGTGTTTTGGTTCATTAATGTTGTTTTTTTTTCTCATCAGTTTTATATTTTTTGGCTTATGAATTGAAACATTTACTTTTTCTGACCATGAACAAAAGGTTTTGCTTCCTGTTTTCTAAAACATTGTCCACCAGCATCCAAGATAGATATACAAACAAATAGATGCCTGCAGGATCTATATTGGAACTATGTCTTCCAAGTTAAATATAGAAGACTAAATGAACTAAACTCATTTGATTTAAAAATATATTTTTGTTCATTGTTTTTCTGTCAGCTTTTCCCTTCTTCAATGGATGCTACAACAAAGAAACTTACTTGAAGGATTAGATGATTGTATTTTACTAGAGGTCATTCCTGTCTAAACCTGGGCTCAAACCARYAGCCTTAGGGTTACAAGACTGATCACCAAGTACCTCTCGTTTGTTAAATATTATTAGTATTATTTTCTACATGAATGTCCAGCTCATGCAGACTCTAAGAAAGACTCTGGCCACTAAGCACATTTTATTGGTGACCCCTGACTTGTCTGAGTTTCTAAAACATATAGTTTTTAGTTTGTAAAAATAATTTGCTCGTGAAAATGCACATCATTTGCCAAATGTTGCACAGCTTTTCAGCTATAAGATAGATGAATAATTATCCTTTATTTGTTTTCTATTTTATTCAGAACGGAAACAAAGTTTTCCCAAAAGAATGATGTGTTTCTCATACTCAAACTAGGGCTGTTGTTGGGTTAAAATGACAGAAAATGCCTCAGTTTTTACACTGAAGTCTTAGGGACCATCTAGACCTGAGGGTAGCAGGAAGGATTACGTACATAAAGTGCCCCAAAATCACTTAAAATATCTGAAAGTTTCAGTCTTGAAAAGTGTGGAAATTTTTAATTAAAAAAATGTGTAGGAAACAAATGTTTGAAAAGGTTTTGATTAAGTTTCAAGATTTAGTTAAATATATGTAATTATTTATAATATGTGTGTACCAGTATATGTACATAGGAGAAAAAAAATACTTCACTTAACTGTTTATTTCTTTTTGATACTGTCTCCTGAAACTCAAAGGGATCTGCTTTCTATAAGTCTGTTCCAACATTCGCAAAGTAACGGAGCACAAACAAACTGAAGAGACGAACTCTTGAGAAACACTTTTAATCAAGAGAAAGATAAATAGCCCTAACAAAGCAGGACTTGGAAAAACAAACGCGGCAACGCTGCCTCTGATCATCATTCGATGGTGCACCGACACACAAACTCTATTAAGCTGTCTTCAAATATGCAAAAATGATATGATTTTACAATGATTACATATTCACTTCCCCAGCTGGCTGGCTCCGAGCGTCTCCATTTGTCATCGACTATTGTGTCCAATTATATGATTAGCTTTGAACACTCCAGCACTTCGAGAGCTCTCGTGTGTTCCGCCGTGCAGAGCGATTCACAAACAAAGTCATTACAACATGTATTCACACATATCAAATAACAAAACAGATGGCCACTGCGCCTGCCGCCTGATTTGTTTTCCACACGAGTGGTGGAAGAAAAAAAAAAGAATTTTCTGTGAGCTGTGTTTAATGCTGACTGTTTTTTTTTTTTATTCCCCAAGAAGAGCAGCTGGCTGTCGCACTGTTAGATCAGCTCCTATGAAAGACAATCTTGTTTTCATTAATTTCTCTACAACAAAGGCACTTGTTGGGAAGATTTAGAATTACAGCGGGTAAAGCTTCCGGATAATTCATCACAGAGACTTGACAGGAAACTTAATTGTTTTAAATGCCAGTTGCTTTGAGCAGCGTGGCTTCTTTTTCTTTTTATGTCTAACAGGTGGGACAGATAGACGACCCTCTGATGTTTCATTCGACCTTTGACCTCTTGGATATAAATCCACTTGTAGTCCACCGGCCAATAAACCTATCAGCATATGATTGAGTGTAGTTCCCAGTATTCCACGTGAAATGGAAATCTTGTAGTCTGCCTTCTCTTATTTAACACAAAGTAAATCTATCCTCTCTGTATCACACACACACACACACACACACACAGTGACCTTCATCTTCAGCCAAATATCATATAGACCCGGTGCAGAGTGACCTCTCAGTGGCCTGTTACAACGTTTGTGAGCCTGCTCATGGTTCTCACGCTCACAAATGCCTTTAATGGTAAATGTAAAATCAGACTCTTTTACTGAAATGGCTCATTGCTGTGTGTTTTATTTAGTCACGTTTGTCGCTGATCAGCCTATTTTGTGCACTGCCAGGAAACGTGATAATGCTTCCAGGTGTCCAACTGTCTAACTTAAACAGACACCGCATTACAACATGGTTATACTGATGGATGGAGGGGAAACTGTGTGGGGATGGCAGCTATAAAGAGTAAAAAACAACATCACTAAATAAAATAACAGAAAACCAGGCCAGTTTATGGAAAATAAACAAAAAACCAACACTATACTGTATTGTACTGTATGTTTTGATTAGGTGTTTTTATGTCATGATCTGTATTCATGGAATATTGTGGTATCTGAGGTGATTGGAAGTTGTTTTTTGTCATTTCAGTTCATTTCATTAAAAACAAATGATTTCCAGGTGTGTTAAAGCAATCAGCTAGTTCCAATTCAATTCAGTCCAATTACAACTCAGTACAGTACAGCTAAGTTACAACCTGTGTGAATACAGTCCAGTTTCTTTTAATTTATTACGCTATTTTGTCAATTTTGTGAATTATAAATTACTCCTTAATTAGAAGATATCTGGCATATTTGTGTTTACTTAGTTTATGTTGAAATTTTATTTTTATTACTAACTATAATTTTCGTTTTTGTTATTTTTTATTGTGTTGGATTAGCTGGGTTTTTTTTTTTTTKTTTATGATATTTGTCAAATTTTTTTGCATTTCTTGAATTTTTGCTTGTTTCTCTGTTTTTTGCAATAAGTTGTGCTTTCTTAAATGTTTCTATCTTTTGTTTATTTTGTGCTTCATGCTTTCAGATTTGTAGTGTTGGGTTGTTGCTATTTGTGAAGTATAGATGTGATTTCCAACTTTTTTTAAATGTACTTTCTGAAATCTTGTGTTTTTGGATTAATTCTATTCATTGCAGACACAAATTAACTCTTGAGTATTAAGTGTACACAGAAATCTTTACACACTCACACAGTGAAACACACTTTTCACAAATTCAGCTCCGACTCAATAGTTGTGTTTTATTTGGGGAAGACATTTCAAATAAATTGCATCTTCCAGCTGCAGCAGCACAGGTCTGACACTGAAACGTCCCCATGCTGAAAAGGTTTTTCTGTTTAAAGGTTAAGGTTGCAGTAAATCTTGTAAATAGCCTCTCTGACATCTCTCGAGCATGTTACTGTAAATGCACTTCAAGCAACTAAATCATTTAACATCTAATCAATACTATTCATATTGCACCATAAACACACTTTCATCCTGCTTGAGAAAGCTGTTATGACTGTTGTTAACTGGAAAAACTGAAATTCTGCTTTCGTGAACTAAAAAGTATGATGCTAAAATAAAGGAATAAAGCCAAAAATACTATCAAACTGTCCACTTTGAACAACTTTGAAAAGAACTGAGTTTAAAACAGGTGAATTAAATCTAATTGTGCCATGCTGCCATCACCTGGCCATTTCAATTAAAGCAACTTTTACTGATCTGTGTTGTGTTCCGTGTGAACTGGTTTGTCTTTAGCTCAGGCTCAACAAATAGAAAACAGCAAACAATTGACTCAACACATAAGTGACATCATGCAACAGTCATGGTCCTTTTTGCCAACTTCGCCTCTGCGGAACTGTGGTGCTACAGAGGCGGGTCTTCAAACAACCTCTGAACAAAAGTAGTAACCTTTACAAACTCACTTATTGTTTCCTGTGGAGGCGGACAGACATGTTTTATCTCTGCTGGCTGACTGAGTGAGGAGTTTCAATATGTTTTTGCACAACAAAGCAAGCAATGAAATTACTGTGGGCTGTGTTTTAAAACGATGTGGGTTGTATTTTTACCTGCATGTGTCACACCTAAGCGAGAGATATTTAGGTTTTGTGGTCATAAAGAAAGTTAGAAAAAAACGACATCTCCAGTCTCATGGGTGAGTCAATCAGCTGTGAACACAGATGTTTGTGCTGCAACATACTGTGAGTGTAAATTACTCTCTGAAAAGTAATTTATGGGGCGCTGTTTGTAAAGTTACACAGTCAAAAATTACCACCAATATTTTTGTTTTATTTAGCCTTTTATAAGAAAAAAAGAACATATTTGTTTTTCAAAGTCAGTTTTCACCATATGATTTATACATGTATAAATGTCATAGT